GCAAGCTTGATAATCTTGCCGCTGTCAGTGATGTTCATGCGGGCAGAGGCGCTGACAAGGCTAACGAGCATGCCGCAGATGGCGAACAGACCGCCAGCAAACAGCTTGTCGTTGTCGGAGCTGTTGAGGTCAAGCCGGTCCCGCAACTGTCTCAGGAAGAGGTAGGCGCGCATGAAGTGTGGGGGCATGGGTGAGATGGAAGGCTTGAAGAAGACGTCGCGCGCAAAGGATGAAGCAGGAATCACAGGGAAAGTAAGGTACCTCCCCGCGTACGACAGCAAGACGCGGGGACAACAGCAGTGCGGGCAGCGGCGATGCGAGTGATACACAGCGCAGGAGTGGTGCAGGCCTTTGGGGCACGTACAAGGTTGAGGATGGCGAAGGCGGTGGGGACGCTGCCGGGGTTGCTGGTGCCGGTGAAGTAGCTGGCGAAGATGGCATAGGCGGCGATGATCATGGCGTTGTGCTTGGCGGCGGCGTCAAACTTGATGACAGCGAAGATGCAAAGAACACCAAGCAGCCACAGCGCGAAGATGTAGTAGTTGACGGCGGCCTCTGAGTCCATGGGGAGTCCCAGGTCCGAGAACACGTTCCACATCAGGCAGGAGCCAATGAACATGAAAGCAAAGCCAATCACAGCGCCAATCAGGCGCGGCATCTGAACACCGTCGAGCATCTTGAGGGAGGAGGCGAGAGAAGGTGGGGAGACAAGAAGGTGGCAGCGAATAAGCTGTCGAAGACAAGAGGGAAATGGCGTGATGAATGTATGTCAGCACGCGTGCATGTGCGTGTGCTGAGTTGTTGTGTTGTGCACCAGCTGCGTGTTGTTTTGTGGCTTCTTTGCTTGTGTTGCTTGGGGCAACAGAAGGCACGAGAAGAAAGAAAATTCGCCGGCCTGTAACCAAAGCGGTGCCGCGAAATTCGAAGAGTGGTGATGACATGTGGCTGCTGACAGTGCTTGTTCTTCTTGCCTTCTTGCTTGTTGTTGTTGGACGTGAACGCAGTGCGTGCATGCATGCTGTGCGTGTGTGCAAGAAGGTGCGACAAACTCAAGGGGAGGCGGTGCCGTGTTGGCCTTACCTTGCACGAAGGGCACGCTCGCCCTCGCTAGCGTGCCCTTTGGACGGCGGGTTGGACAGTGCAACTTGCAGCTGGCGGCCTGTGGCAGCGGTGACAATAGTGGTGGTCATGATGATGATACACACAGACACGGGCGGGGGGAGCGACAGCAGACATGCACAAACGCAGGGAGAGGGAGGTGTGCGAACGCCAAACGCATGTGCAGATACACACACACACACATGTCCACACGCATACCTTTGAACTCTGCCTTGTCAAGGTTCATGATGGCTGTGGCGGCGTCACGGCTCGCTTCAAACTGCAAAATGAGGCCGCGAGCACTGCACATAGACACGACACACGCGCGGTGTTGATGCCACTGGCGATGCGCTCAAAGTGGAAGAAGGGCAGCCAAGTCGCAAGCTGGCGTGGTGGTGGTGAAATTTGGAAGGGGTCGTGTTGGGAAGAAGAAGGAGAATCAGTACGGCGAACTTGTATCTGTCTGTGTGTGTGTGTCTGTGTGCCTGTGTGTTTGTGACATCAACACCTTCAACGCACGGACACACATAGAGTCACACAGGTTCCCAGACAACGCCCGGCCCCTCCTCATCGCATGATGGGAGCACCTGCTTGCCGAATGAACCCGTGCGCACGAGGTCCTCCATGACTTCGCGTGCGCGCGTCAGATTGTCAAAGCGAAGCGCCTCTGTCTTCGCCTGGTGGGGTGGATGTGAGGGGAGGGATGGGGTGAGTGCGGTCGGAACAATGAGGCATGGCATGAATGGCATGGTCACATCATGTGTGAAATGTCATGACGTGACGTTGTCTTCATAGGAATGATACTGTGCGCTTGATGCAGCTTTGCCTGTATTGGGGGTGTGACATGTCACGACACAAGGCAACAACATGAAGGAAATTCTACACGCGCGGTCTACATACATGGAAACACGCAAACGCACAAATGTACATGACACGGGGGTTGCGGATGCATGTGTCGCACAAGTGGGAACAACAACACACAACAGCAACAAAGAGACAACGGCTGGCGGGGCTGTGCACCCTCGGCCAATAGGCTGTTGCTAAGTTTGGTGTTGGGCACGAAAGCGTGTACTATGACGTGCATGCAGCAGCAGCAGCGGCACAAGACGTGCCACCCCCGCACGCACACACACACACGCACACACACACACACACACGAGCGTTTACTCGGACGTCTCCTCCTGGTAGACGATGAAGCCCGGGACGATGGCAGTGAGGGCGCTGACGGTGCAGAGAACCATGCCTGCGCGGGCGGCGTCGCGGGCACTGCCGGTCACAGAGCCGGAGATGGTCAGACCGCTGGAGAGGGCGAAGATGGAGAAGAAGCCGAGGTAGGCAAGGAGGAAGCCGGCAAC